GGCGGGGGGAGCAGTGCATCGAGTTTCTGGAGCGGCAGGTGGTGCAGTACATCAACACCAGCCCTGAGCGCGGCGGGGACGAGGTGGGCCATGCCTTCCTCCTGGTGCACACCAAGCTGCTGGCCTTCTACTCCAGGTGCGCCCTACCCCACCACCCTCCCTGGGGCAGCAGCTCTCCCTCCCGCCTCACCTTTCCCTCTCTGGCCTGCAGCCGCAACGCCAGCTCCATCCGTCCTGCTGACCTGCTCATCCTCATCCTCCTGGTGCAGGACATGTACCCCAGCCAGAGCGCCGAGGAGGAGCTTGGCCCCCAGGTGCTCCAGAGCAGGGTGTGGGGGGCAGCGGGTCCAGGTCCCCCCGCAGGGTGATGCCTTGGTGGCCAGGCCTTAATTTTTTTCCACCTTTTTCAAAAGCCTGCGGCAGGGAATGTGCTCCCCCAGGGACCCAAGAGAAGCGAGAGCATCCCCGTGAGCAGCCCTGGCTCCCACGGAGCTGCGGAGAAGGACTCGGATGATCAGGTGAGTGCCTGGGATCAGGGGCTGCGGGGCAGGATGCTGGCTGGGCTGCTCGCGTCGCTCCCATCGCTGACCCAGCCCTTCTCGCCAGCAGGACACAGACGATCTCTCCGTTCCCGAGGTTTACTACACGCCTGAGCCCTCACCAGGCACGCACAGCACGGGTGAGTGCCCGGCCGGGCAGCAGCCCTGTCCCATGCCCCCCAGCCCTGCGGAGGCGCTGGGGGCTGCGTGGGGGGCTGGCGGGGAGGGCGACCTGCCGTGCTCCCTGTGCAGGCAGGGAGAGCTGGGCGGAGGGCGCTGAGAGGGAGGCAGACACGTCAGAAGTCCAGGTGAGCAAGGGGTCCTGCAGTCCCTCCTGGCTCTGCACCTCCTCTGCCTGTCCTGCTGCTCTTTGCGGTCTCCAGTCCTCATCACTTGGTGTGCTGGGTTTGCGGGTGCCCTGGGCTGTAGGGCTGGGGGTGTGCCCTGTGTCCCCTGTGTTGTGCATAACTGTGATAGCTCTGACCAACCTCTCTGGGGCATTGCTCACGGTCTCCGTGTCCGGAGCTGTCGGCACAGAGGGGCTGGGGCTGCCTCTGAGTAGTCCGGTGTCTCCCTCTGCTGCCTCTGGGCTTTCTGGGCTGCTTCCCTGCCGCATGCTGTGGAGCCTCACACGCTTTCTGCAAGCAAGTGCAAGGTGTTTGCAATCTGTGTCTTTTCAAGCGGCTTCCACTTTATCTGCTGCTCTTTTGGGGTCCCTGAGCACTTCCCTGGCTGCTGATCCTTTGCTGCGTAGCCCCTCCGGCTCCATCGGTTCAGTGGTGCCCGGTTGCAGCTCTCAGGGCATTGCTGTGTCCCTCCAGAGCGTCCTGGGTCGGTGCAGGCTGTCTCATCCCTGCTGATGAGATGCTGAGCATCTCCCCTCTCTCCCCAGATGGCAGAGGACTTGCTCCAGACCTTGGAGCCTCTGGTCCCTGAAGCTTCAAACCCCAGAAGGATCTTCCTGGATGCCAACCTGCGGGAAGGCTACTGCCCCTTGCTGCCGCACACCATGCACTGCCTCCCGCTCTGGCCGGGCATCTCCCTTGTCCTCCTGACCAAGGTGAGCTGCCTCCAAGGTGAGGGAAAGGGTGGTGGGCTGGGTCCTGGCTGACCCACCTCTCCCTTCCCTGGCAGGGCTCCACGACCCAGGTGGCTGTCACCTTGTACCAGCTGCTGGATGGTTTCTTGGTGCTGGAGAGGAAGCTGGAAGAGGGGAGAGAGGTGGGAGCCCCGCGCTCCTACCCATTCCTGGCCGAGCTGCGGCAGCGCATGGACAAGTTTGTGAAGAAGCTGAGCGGGCAGGACATCCAGGTGGGAGTGGGGACACGAGGACCCTGTACTGCTGTCCCCACAGCCTGACGCTGAGCCCTGTCTCTCTCTAGTTGCAGAACGCCTGGGTGGACTTCAAGAACAAGATATTTTCACGGAACGAGCCTGCAAACTCCTTGGAGTGAGTAACAGGGTGGCCGGGGAAATTATCTGGAGAGGCAGGGACCTTTCCCAGTCTGGGGGGTGGCACGGCTGTCCCTGTGGCCATCCCTGCGGTACGGGGGACCCAGGGATGAAACTCTGTACTGCCTGTGTCTCCTGGCTCAGGCTGCTGCAGGCAGTGGCCAACGTGAAGCGGCAGCTCTGCTCTGTGTACCGCCAGCTCTTCCTGGCCTCTGCCAGCCACAGCCTGTCCCAGGGGCTGCGGGACCGTGCCCAGAAGCTGATGAGGTGAGTGTATGGGGATGGCCACCATTCTCGGGGGTCTGCCCCACACCCAGCTGTGCTGGGGCTTGCGGGGTCCCGACCTCTCACTGTGCGTCTTCTCGGCAGGGAGAAGCTGCTGGACTGGCGGGACTTTCTGCTGGTCAAGAGCAGGCGCAATATCACCATGGTGTCATACCCGTCCCTGTGGCTGGGAGCCCAGCCTGGAGAGGAGAGGTCCCTGGGTGGGGGGGTAACAGAGGTGGGAGCAGGAGGACCCTGTCCCCCCAGCACCAGGCTCGAGGGGAGGAGTGTGGTGGGTGTAAGTGGTTTCCCCGAGGCTCAGGGGCTGTCCTGGAAGGGCACCAAAGTTGTTGGACAGCCTTAACCCACCCCACGTATCTGGAGGACTTTCCTGGCCTGGTGCACTTCATTTATGTGGACCGCACTGCTGGGCAGATGATGGCACCATCGCTCAGTGTGACAGAGAAGTCCAGCTCAGAGCTGGGCAAGGGCCCCCTGGCCTCCTTCATCAAGAGAAAGGTACTGCTCATGGGGCTGGGGGTGGGATGGGGACCACAGGAGGGGCTGACGGTTGGAGGGTTTTCTGCTCAGGCTGCAGGTGCTCCTTGTCCCCCAGGTCTGGTCCCTGATCACATTGGCCCGGCGATACCTACAGAAGGGGTACACAACGCTCATGCTGCAGGATGGTGACTACTGCTGCTCCTACTTCCTCTGGTTTGAGAACGAGCTGGTATGTGGAGCGAGGAAGGGGCTGAGTCCCTCTCCCCCAGCACCTTCTGAGGACAGGGAGCAGAGCTGTTGGCACAGCCGGCTCTGGCTCCTCGGTGGTCCCCTCTCTGCTCCTGCCCTCTGCTGTCATCTCTCCCCAGGGCTACAAGCTGGAGGTGATGGAGGTTCCGGTTCTCTCTGATGACTCTGCTCCCATCGGGATGCTGGCAGGAGACTACTACAGGTGAGCAGTCCCCAGACCTGTGGTTTGGCACCAGCGCTCAGGGCTGTACTGGCATGGGGGTCCCCATGGGTGATGCTCTCCTCACCGGGACCTCGCTGCAGGGTGGTACCAGTGCTGCAGTGTCACCAGGGTCGCAACAGCCCTTCTCTCCAGCCTGGTGCCGTGGTCCTGTCAGTGGCTGGGCAGTGTCCTTGCCAGGGACTTGCTAGGGGGAAAGTTGTTAGAAAGGGGGTTCCAGGCTGCCCTGCACCTGCTGAGCCCTCTGTCTTCTCCTTCCCAGGAAACTGCTGCGTTACTACAGCAAGAACCACCAGGCAGAGGTGGTGAAGTGCTATGAGCTGCTGACCGTGCACCTGGGCATCATCCCCTCCGAGCTCGTGGTCCAGCAGGCCTGCGATTTGGCACGGCGTCTCTGGGAGCCCTCCCGCATCCCCCTGCTCTGAGCTGCCTTCACCCTCCTCGGGGCTGGGATTAAAGCGGGTGTGTGGGTGTTCCCAGCGCCTGGGCTGCTTTCTTGGTGTCTGTGCGCCGTCAGCTGTGCCTGCAGGCAGCCACGGGCGGAATTCCCATCCTCCAGCCCAGCCGGGGCTGCTGCTGCCCGCCTTCCCACTCTCCGTGGGCTTCACTGGCACCCGGCAGCCTCCAGGGACAGGCGGAGAGTGGGGCTGAGAGGTTGTTGGCAAATCACCGTCTTGCTGAAAAGTGCATTTCCAAAGCAGGATTTATAGCGTTGGCTTGGCATCACCCCCGGGCTTTGGCTGGAGAACAAAACGGTGTAGCCAAACCTGTGTGGAGGAATAGCTGAGGGTTTTCCCCCCTTCCCCCTCGCCCCGAAATGTGTGGAGCCCTCGGGGGCTTGGAGGGCTCTGGGGAGGTGCAGCCCAGCCTTC